GATATAAACCGACAGCACAAACGCCTCTGACACCGGTCAGATGAAAGGGAGTTCTTGTCCGTCCACGCATGTATGCGCCTTATGCAAAACTTATGGAGTGGATGTGCTGTCCTTTCCAACTGGACTTTCGACGTACACTGCGACTGACTGGTCCATCTAGGTGTCTGATGAGCAGGGCATCCAGAATTGGTACTCTTCACTTTCGTGCTTATGGTGGACGAAGTTCGGACGATTCACAATAGTCTCATACTGTTCAATGCCAATGACAAGCAGAATATAGTCTATGCATAGTCTTTAAAGCGGAATTCCGGTGATATAATCAGAAACTCGCCTTTTGGTTATTCCAAGGATGGTTTCAACGAGCGTTGTTCCCAGTGGACGTTGTACGGTGACTCCGTAAAACTGTCTATATGCAGAACTTAAAAGAAAAACAGACAGTACAGTTCATAAAGGAATGAGATCTTGAGAATAGTTAACTGCGATGCATATTATCACTGGATGCAAAATAACTATTTAAGTCAAGTATCTTGGGCAAGATGGTTTTTGTCGTGAGTGGGGGAGAAATGTTCTTTGAGAACCCACTTAAATATGTTCCAAGATACTCCAGAGAAAATGACGTTAATCTACGCCGTATGCAGTCGAAACTGCCAGCTGACCGCCGTGTAATTTTGCGTTGTGGGAAGTTTTGCACGCACAGCATACGTTTCAATGGGGTCTCAACCTTTTGAGTTTTTTAGGATACCATGAGAGAGAGAGAGAGAGAGAGCAGATAAAGTTGAAACAGGGGTGTAATTGGGAAGCTTCTACGGTCAACTTAGAAAGTTCACCACAGAATGCCTGATAGTTTCGATCAGAACTGTTCGATATCGCCAATCGATTTGTTACCTTACATGTGGGACTTATGGAGCCATTAAAGAACTGAAGGAAATAGACGATACTGTGGCTCTTCAACCTTGCAAGGGTTCGGAATCTGTCATACTGAATCTTGCAGATCAACTTGTGTAAAGAAACTCAATCCTGCATGACTATCCGAAATTCCAATCAAACCCCAGTTCATAAAGTTAGCAGATACCGAGGAAACTGCGGCGAATTCATGCACCTCAAGCTCAGTACAAGCACCTGAAACCCGTGGGAAGGTAAACACCCAAACTGAGGAGTACTTCTGCGTGCAAAACTTCCTTATCACCAGACTTCCTGTCAGCCTTTCTGTTTGGAGCCTTCTGTAGCAACGTTTTTGTGGTTGAGTGGTTGAACAAACGCTATTTGCCATGTCAAGTGATTAGGTTGGGTAACTGGACAGCTCATTGATAGCCATTTACTGGAATCTACGGACCATTGCCCCAGGATCGCCGGAATGAAATGTGTGAACTCTGAGTTCACTGAAGATAGTCGAACCACGTGCACATGTTCCAGTCTCAGCCTGGCGAAGATTCCCACTCTTTCTAAGGGCTGTTTTGCCTGTTCCACACAGCTTGCTTTTCTCCGTCCGCGTACATCGCTCAGTTTACACAGATTTGACTTAAGAACCCTAGGGTTTGTTGTTCAGCACACAGCCTTATCACAAACCTTAAAACTCCTGCTTCCCCATGTTTGTCCTCACCTTGTTGTGGTGGTTGGGCTTCTGTGCTGCAATGATCCTGCAGGTTATACTGGCTGGAACTCAGTTCCTAAAGGTTCAATCATGCCAGGAAGGCCAACGGGGAGCAGCCCGACGAAGAACAGTGAGTCCTCATACTGCGAGTAATCATATTACGGGACGTATGGATGTAAAGTCGTACTGTCTTCTGCGATAGGAGTGTGAAGACGGTAAGGCGTTTCCCCCAGGCAACCAGCATGTCCATATTTATGGAAGCAGTGATGCCGCCTTCCCCCGAGAAAGAACGGACCCTAAAAACCGCACACTCCGATCACCCAATGGTTGATCGTGACCGCCGGCGCACTATTCAAAACGGCCGAAATACTTTTAAAATCAGAGTCCGGCGCTGCTCAAAAGCCACCTGCTGTGTGCAGCCGCATCAGGAGTGAAACAGTAATGCCCTAATCCCTGCGACCTCGGGCCAGACCAGCCCCCTACAACCAAGTAGGTCAGAATATTGAGTCATTGGCTTCTGGAAGGATCCCCCAAGAAAACCCTAACAACCGCTGTCTCGTGGTCCAGACTTTTGAGTGAGAGGCTAGGGGCAGAATCCCTGAACAAAACCCTACGTCGTCCCACTGCCTTGAGTTTAAGCCTCTTGGATCGAAGGCTCAAGGTGGGGTACCTACCCGGCCTGGGCAACCGGGCAGTACCATTTGCCCTTGGAGCTCTTCGCTCACCGGCCTTCCCCCTCATTCCCTCCCAGCCCATCTGCCAACCCCCCAGGCCACTATTCCGTGTCCCAACTATCGCCCAGAAAAATACACATTTATTCTCGATATTTCTATCAAAGAGACTCGAATTCGAGACGCTACCCAGGTCATCCTGCTAGCTCTTCCATCAGGGAATTCACACTTATGTTTCCGAAACACTCGCATGTGGTCAGGCCGACGTTAGTGTGATTCCATGTGACAATGTCATACAAGATCTCCGCTGAAAGTCGCCCTCGTGCAGCATAAGTGTGCTTTCAGTCGCGCTAAGAATTTTGGCGTCAGTCGTCCTTCGTTTGTTGGTTGGGAACTGATGCACAATAAGAAAACCGGTCTGTGTGCGAACCGCAGCTGTGTTGATCAAACCGTCACCTTTCTGCAGAACATCGCTACATATGCTGTACATTGACCATCATTGTGTCTTTAGGGATGTTTGACAACTTAGGTGGAAAGGTATGATTTGCGGTTTGCCACCTCGTAGTGTAAGGTAATACCACGGGATTGTCATAAACTTAAGTCTTCCTTTTTATCTTGGAATGTGATAGGTTGTAAGTAGTCAGCAGGTTTACCTACTTAGCAAGATAGCCTCTGGTATAGGTCCTAAGGAATAAAACCACTGCGCGCTGCGGAAGCTGTAACAGTGTTTGCCAGTCTGAAACACACGTGGAGTCGCCAACAAGTCGTGGCATGCTTTTTCCGGTTTGTCAAGCCTGATCTTTCTGCGTAAACTGCGTTCACCAGCTGAAAATCCTTGCTTGTGTAGCACTGAACGTGTCTGATGACAGCAGTCTGTTTGGTTCACTAGTTGAGATGGCTTCATTTTAGCCGTACGCATGGCACTCCAGCGACTACCTTATTGTACTCTATGTATGGATGTTGGGTTTAGTTGGAAAAAGGCACCAACAAACAGCGATAAAAAAGGCACGCCCGGATTATCCTACATGCGATATTTGCTCCCAGGATTGGGCCCAGAGATTCTGGTTGTCGGCGGTTGAAGACGCCCAAGGGTGTGGCAGTGAGCCGAAGTCGGTTACAGGCATGATCAAGGTCATGCCTAATTGGCTACAACAAAAACAACTCAAAATACATGGAACATCTATGCTTGTAGCACGCATTTTTCAATTATTCACTCAGTGACTGGTCTGGCACCAAAGCTGCTATCAGGTCTGCGTGAAAATATAATAATAACGAACGCTTGCCTTGTGGTAACTCTGCAGTTTGCGCTTGACTTTTTACGAACGGAATCAGGTCGCTTCAAACATCATGTTTCGGAAGTTGAAACCGTTTTACTTGTTTTTGAACATCTTTTGACCTCTGGGTCATTGATTCGATCGACCTCAAGAAAACGAGACGATCGAATTGCATCATTTTGATGCATGGCTGTCGTGCGTCTTGAAGGAAACAAGCGAGCTAGGATGACCAGGCCCAAACGTAAAGCCGCAGGTTTGGTCGAGTTACGACCACCGTAATAACGCCTCGCCCACCAACTCACGTGTTATGGCAACTCATCTAGTGGAATGCTTTTGAATGGTTTTCTCGTTTGAGTCATTCTGAATTTGGAACTCCAGTGGGGTCTGTTGTCGTCAGTATACTCCTATGTCCAACGGTGGATGCGTGTCCTCAGTAAGTCACGCAAACTGCTACACTATATAAACCAATCCCAAATTTCTCGGACATGCCCAGCTAAGATTCAAGTATGTATCCGGCTTTCAGTCCAAACTCAGATATGTCGGTTCCCTCCGAAAGGTATGCCTCTCCCCATGTGTGTGGAATGTGATCGCAGCTGTCATGAAAAACACGTGTTCCTCAAATGTAGCGATCCTAAATATTGAAGGTGAAAGTTCATATTGCAGGCGTGTGCTCCGTTTTCATTTGGTACTCGGTTCAACATCATATGCTCTTTTTACGGATGCCCACTCGGTCCGATTGCCAAACCCGAGGTTACCAACGCTCGGAAAATGTCAAAAACAGCTGCTCTATTAGCACTTTAGACATTCACCGGAGTTGCAACAACACACATCAGTACAAATAAAACAAGTTTCAAGGGGATCAAACATGTTTGACAGCGTGGTAGGACAAAAGTTTGGAGTGATGTTTTAGCCGTGCGATTTTTCCGTTTGCTTTGTGCTGTTAAAGCTCGCAATCGCATGCTGAGTAGTAAACTTGCTTAGCTGTGAGCGCACGACAGACTCATCAATCTAGTGCGGTTCTCCCCGTTGTTAGTCGTTTTACACTCTCTGTCCATCGTTTTGTAAACCTGGGTTCGAGATAGCTCAGTGGTTTAGGTGTCAGCTTACGAGCCTGAAGGTCCGTGGTTCGACCCCAAGCTCAGCATCTCGACTGCTGTTGTCTAAGCTAGGGCAATCTGGCAGTATACCGGCCCTCGTGCCTCCTGTTAGCATAGCAGTTGAGCACCGAAAGTGTGCTGCGGCTGAACGATTTTCGGAACCTGGGATTGAAGCTTTTCCGTGCCATCATTTCCAGCGTTCAGTTTGACTAGTCAGCGCCAAACGGTCATCAGTCCGTTGTAGAATTTGTGTGGCACTAGAATGTTTTCAGACCTTGGTACACAGACCTTTGTGGTAAGCTTTTATGTCATCCTGCAGCCTAACAGTTGTTTGTATTTTTCATCCCACCCATCCCTTTCAAAACAGACCGCTGGTGTAATCACGGAGGAGTTCACTGTACCGCGGTTCGATGATCCGGCGGCGGCTACAGCTCCATTGGCAGAGGAATATCAACCAGCGTATTCGGCTGCCGCGAACTCCACTATGGCCGTTCTTTCCGCAGTCACGTCCAAATTGGGCGAACTGTCCGGTTTGTTCTCCGGAAGAGATCTCCCTATGCTTGGACATGGAGATCTCCCAGGTCCAGTGAGCGCCTCTCCACCTTTGCGCGGGAACAACTGCGTTGGTGACGTTCAAAAGAAATCATCTTCCTCCAATGCTTACGACACCGATGGATCACGTCTTCGGCAGGATACACATACGACCGATTATCATCAAAGTGACCCAGATACATCCAACCTCTTTCACCAGCAGCATCCTCAAAGTTCTCCCGCTGCGGATGGAACGAACAAATGGCCTGCTACACAGGAGTATGTACAGCTGTATTTCAACGAGGCCGCCTTTGTAGCAGCCTATACGAGAAACGAGAAGCTCGGCTTGACCAATCGTGCTGCTCAAAGTGCAGAGTTGACCGATCTACTGGAAAAGCTCAGGCGTTTCGCTGGTTATAGAGTCCCTATCCTGGGCCGTGCTAACCAGCGTCGCGTGGCCGGTTGTCCAGTCTGTTTGAAAGCGTTCAATCATGGTTTTACAGACTTGAAAAAACATTTGATGATCGCTCACCTCAACGTACGACGTACCATAACTCGTTTCGCCCTAGATTTCACGCACTACTCTCGATCGTCTACGGACGAATTGGCAACATCCGATGTGAGTGCTTCCCACCCAACGCCTGAACTGAAGCAACAACCACTGCATCGCCTCACAGTACGACCGCCATCGCGCCAGTTCCGCCGGAGGTCTTTCATCCACTCCCTCAATTGCACAACTGTCAAGAAACGCACCGTTGTCCCGAAGCTTTCAACTCCTTTGAAATCTGAGACTCCCAATTCTACAGAACCAAGGACTCCAGACGAGTTATTCCCGCTTGTCACCTCCCCGACTTCAGCTTATATTGGAAGCGCTCCAGTGCATCGTGTTATACCTGGAACTGGTGTTTCTGATCAGTATGAGGATATGAAAACCTTAGAAGAAGTCGCTTCCGAAGCCCCGGCCGGTCGTGGAGGAATAATTCACTTGGATGATGCAGGGAAGCCACTCTCAGCGGCTCTCGCTGCCGCCAGTCAACCCCACACAGTCAATGCTACCAAGCCCTCAGATGCTGACGAGGTTTTCCTCCCTAGACTTGGTCGTCAACACGTTCAATTAGCTTACTCGTACCCTGTGTTCAAGCGTTTACTCGAGGCCTACCAAGTTCCAATGACTGAACGCATCCAGCTCGTCAATCGGATGAATCATTATGCTCGAATGCATGTCATCATGGATGTGTTGGTTCCGAGTGGAGCGCAGAAGCGTTTCTCCTGTCCGACCTGTATGTACACCTCGGTTCATTCTCTGGCCGATATTCGGAAACACATCATGGGCTCCCACTGTGGTATCTCCACCAAACGGTTTCGTCTGTGTTTACGTGCGTCTAGGCACGACACAACGACCTATCGCCTGCACTCGGACGACCGTATGATCCGTTTTGTGCAAGATCACCGTCGTCGACAGATGCAGTCTTCAGCTACTAATCACCACGTTGAATCAGACGAAGATGCGTGTGTAGAAAAGTCATCTGTCCATAGAAATGAGGAACAAAGTCGTAATGTTGGTGGTGGCGATCTGCCTGTCGCCAGTAAAGTTCCTCACTTCCGTTCAAACATCCCAACAACGTCCCAAGAAGAATTGGAAACTATGACCATTGAGGCGGACCCCGACGATGAGTACGAGGATGAACCACCGGACGAAGTGCATCGAATTCATCAAGAGTGTGATAATCGGTTCTTGACGGCCACTCCTGTCAACAGTATAATCGAACAAGAGTTGTCCGCAAAACCCGAGGCGCCCACAGATGCGGCCACGGTGCTCGCCAATACCATACTGAAAAGCTATCCGGAGGAAACTTCTCGACGCAACGAAGAGATCCATCGACGCGTGACTCTCCCGTACTCCACGGATGTTCTTCGTACGCTCCTCGAACGAGAGGGTTTACTTGAGCATCTACAGGACTTGCTCGAAAAAATGGAAATCTACGCAAACCATCACCTGACCGTGATATCTCGTGGCAATCGAATTATCGCCTACATTTGCATTTGCGGCCGGCGTTTTTCGGTAAGTTGTCTCCCCACGTTCCATCCTTTCCTACCCCAGTGGAGACCACGTTTTGCTAGTCCCCCTGGGGTGATTTCTTCAGACGAGACAACTGTTTTATCGGGACCGCAATTCACTCATTTAGTTGTTCACTAAGTGCTTAGTGGTTAGGGTGCACTCTTACGAACCGGAAGGCCCGTGGCTCGAACCCAACCTCAGCTGTTTAGTCTTGGGCAACCTGGCAGTATCTCAGCCCTCGTGCCTTCTTCCGTTGGCATGGCAGCTAGGCACCTAAGGGGTGCTATATCTGGACGATTGTCTCCTTGATCTTTGTTTTTAAGATGGTAATCGATCGATTACGGTAACTTAATTTTTCACTGATGGAACTCCGTAGTTATTGGAATATCCCGACGATTCCTAGTGCACATGAAGCGTTGAGGTTGGCTCAGATGTATGACGTACAAAGACCTTTTACTACGGCAATCAAGCACCATTATGCATAAATGTGCTGTGGATTATAATGACAAGTTTTAGTTCAACATTCACTTGCCTACGTCGGGAAAGCAAATCCTTACCATCTGCATAAAACATACCCTCAAGCCCTTCCAAAATCATGTTCACCGTGGCGTTTCTCTATGAGGTGGTGCACAGTGACACATTTGCGTAACCTGGACCTACAAAGAGCTATTTTTGCACATCCATCATCATTGACGGCAACATGTGAGAAGTGCACTGGTGCTTCACTGCCGTACGACCATGTCCATTTGTTTGAATAAGACCTGATAATGGAAAGTAGAGGGGGGACCCGGAAGCTAACCTATCACACACATCCGGGATGCCTGCGCCTCCAACGCTCAGTCACACAATTTGGATAGAAACTGACGGCGTGAACGCCACCAATATCGGTCAGTGTCTCCAGCCAAGCACCGGAAGGGTCACATGGGCCCTATGCTGGCTGTTCGCCCAGCATCCGACATGTTTTGCTGGAGAAGTATTAGTGGAAGCGAGGTTGTCTAGTATACAGGATGATCGGAGTCCATATTCTGGCATGACCGAGGAGGCGTCCTGCTGATGTGCTCTATTATTTTATATCGTTCAGCTGTAACACACTTCCGGTGCCTAGCTGCCACGCCACCCGAAGGTTACTGGGATAGCGCCAGGTTGCCCAAGCTTAGAGGCAGAGGTCGGGTTCGAACCACGGACCTCCCGGTCGGTAAATTCCGCTCTAACCACTTGAGCCATCTCGCCCCTATGTGCTCTACCAATAACGAAACTCGAATCCAGTGGTCCGTTGTCGGATGTGAACCAGCCGAAATGATCTGTGCTGGAGATTTGGAGGATGGTTCAAACAAAAATCTTGTGGTTAGCGTCTCGCCCCGTTACCAGCCCATCAAAACGTATTATCGTTTTATAGACGTAGCATGCTACTCATAAAGGTGCTGAAAATCCGACAGTTCACAATCGGTTTCGCCCCCATTTCGGACCATCACGTAAGTGCAGTCCAGCATCATGAGAAATTCAGCTGGGATTCAGGTGAGCCTCCCCCCTGGGAACAAAATTAGTTCTCGAATGGGTGTGTTTGTCCTATTGTCGTTTTCTTTGAGTCACCGAGCCTGTAGAGCAGCTTTTACCTCATCGGGTTGGACTAGTTTTCACCTCTGACATTGGGGTTGGTATGGCAGACCATTCTCGTTTTCGGTTCGTCCGAGAGTTACTCGCATGTTTTGGCCTCCACTTCAACTCAACGACTGATTTCAAATCCTAAATGCAGCATGCCGAAATCCGTTTTTTGGCAATGCACAAATCCCTCCCAGAGGCATATTACCACCCTGGGGAACCCATACCGTCACTCCTCATCACTCTAGGTGGTCCAAGGGGATTCGATAAAACCAAAAGGAGCTATAACCAAACATACCTGTGTTAATGAGCCGTCTTGTGATTGATTCTCGAGTTAGCCTGCTGTGACTTCAACGAATGGGGGCGAGATGGCTCAAGTGGTTAGAGCGCGAATTTACTGACCGGAAGTTCCCTGGTTCGAACCCGACCTCTGCCCCTCGACTTCCCCTGCCTAGGCTTGGGCAAACTGACAGTATCCCAGCCCTCGTGTTTCTTTCGGGTGGCATGGCAGCTATGCACCGAAGGGGCGCTACAGCTGAACGATTATTATAATTTTTCTTCAACGAATCTTTGAATCCCTTGCACTTCGCTCAGTTTCACAGTCATTCAATCCGTACTTCACGTTCGCGTGAGTGTATTCACCTTCGTCTAGCTACATGACATAAACCGCCGATGAAGACCGCGGCTGTTTACGGTCATCGTATTTGCTTCCCTGGAATCCGCGTACCTGTAAATAAACGTGTCTCGGAACTGGAATTGAAATCGCTTGGACTAACCTCTGTCATCTGGCGGGAGAACGTAAGACAGTGATGTCACCGGGGCTAGGTACCAAACGTTTCTCATATATCCGTTTTAACGACAACACGGTTCAAATAGGCTATGTTGGCAACTCCACTTTGGACCTCTAGCATACTCATTCTCTCCAGCTGTTCAACATTTGTGCCGCGTAACTGCCTCGTCACGAATAGCCAACCGTGTATGCTGGCGTCGTTGCCACCTATTTGAAAGTGATGTGTTGTAGTAATGTAGCTTCTGTATTGTTTCTCGGCTTCCTGTTCCGCCCACAGTGGTATATCGAAAGGCACGAGAGCTTGAAGTAGTCCTTTATGGAGATAAAGGAAAATTGTATTTATGGGATTATTATGGAAGTTTCCACAAGGTCACGAAAACCTTCGTGAAGGAGCGAAAGGCACCGAGCTGTGGATGCTCCATCCAAATTGGTTGACACTCTGACCGACCATGGCATACTTCCATTCGCTACGTAACCGCCTCGTGGCACATCCCCTTCCAATCGACGTGATGTTCGGTCATTTAGAACGGCTTGCCTTCGGACAGCCCTTTGAGTATATTGTTTGTCGACCGCTGTATCCATTTGACTTGTGATGGCACAGTGAACTCCTGTCGCATGTCGGGCCGTCCGTGGGGCAGTAAGCACGCCGATCTGGGATGCGGTACAGGTGGTTCTGTCCGCGTCAAAGTTGTCCGATGTTCCATGCAACGTGGTTCAATCGTGGGGCCACACTCTGCTGCCTGAAGTGAATTCGCTTGGCTGGACCGTCCCTGGGCTCTGGCATGCACCGCATGCTTGACACAGTATCCAACCCGACATCCACCGTGGACACAATATCCTCGAATCAGCATTCGGCCTTTATGCGACTAATGTGGTGTCTCTTCTCCTGACCCTTTCCGTTTGGTTTTCTGGGTAACAGTGGAATGATCTGGCTGATCATGACACTGTATTGAAGGATGGAGGCCACGACTACAACGTTGCCAGTTGCCGGTAGGATTAAGAAGATGGACCGAAGTGAGAGAGGGAGCTGCTAATGTCGGACGTCATGAGTTGAGTAGCCGATGCGTTGCGTATGTTCTAGTTTGTCTCTGGCTTGTAACTATAGCGATCACAATTCTTAAAGGCGTGCTGCCGCCGTGATCGTATTGCCGCCATCTGCGGTTGTTTCGCCATAAATACCATCGTGGGGTTGCTTCAAGACGTGAAGTAGCATATTGTGGCTCCACAATGGAACCATATTCCATGGGACACCGGAGGTGGGGAGCGCAGCTAGAATGATGTGTACTGGATCCCAGATCAGCATGTTCGCTGCCCCAAGGACATACCGACATGCCAGATCAGCCCCCTGCGCCATCACAGATGCGTTCGGAATCAACATAAGGGAAAGTACCCCGCGACTGGATCAACTTCCTAGCCTGAAACTGATCAAGTGACTGAAAAGTGATTGGTTTTATAAGCAATTCGGGTATCGATAGGTTCCACTTCCGTCGACTCTCCGATTCTACTCATTGCTTAGCTTCTTTGCCGCTCTCTTCGTAACCTTTTAGGCTTCTTTAGATTGCATCAGATACTCTACATCCCTTGGTCGTTGTGGCTGTTTCTTATTTGAACATTTACTGGATCTCACTGAATTGTTCTTTTCTATTTTCGTCTACCACTTTGTTTGACGCCACTCACATCTTATTCCGTTATAAAAAACAGGTCATACGTGAGGATGAAGACAGTGTTATTCGACCCGCAAGTCTGGCCGACTGTCGCCGGCACATTTTGGGTGTGCACGCACGCATTCCCCAAGATCTTCTTACGCTATGCTGCCAGGCTTCACGGATTTCCAAAGAATCTGGTTACAAGCTCTATTCTGACTCCTCGTTGCTAGCTTTGGCCGAACAACACAAATTCCGCAGTGCTCGAATGCAAACCTATAACAAGGCTGGTTCCCCTTTCAGGGCAGCGAACTCTGCGGACACTTCCGGGGCGAATACCGATGAGTATGATATGAATTCGGAGAAGCCGCCGCCTTCGCCTGATACTTCTGGCCGTCTCGGGTCAAATAATGTGAGTTATGCGAGTGTATCGCGACTCCCGTTCGTTGGAAATCGCCCGCCCAACTGGAAACAAGATCCTGAAACCGATGCATCCGGTTTAGATGGTCAAGCTTGTAGTAATCTTCAAAATGGTTCTCTTCCCACACAAAAGGCCGAGCCAATAGCTGCAGCAACACACAAGATGGAGAATGTCAATTCACAAGACTCGGCTGCTCGGCANAGCTGCAGCAACACACAAGATGGAGAATGTCAATTCACAAGCCTTGGCTGCTCGGCATTCCCGTCTAGACTTGGAAGCACCACACCGAATTCTCACTGTTGAAGAAGCTGTTTCCTGGGGCCGAGATTTATCACTTCCAAGTACGTGGACTCTTGAACGAATCGTCCGTTTGCAGTACAATGAGAGTGTGTTTGATGAGCAGCTGAGGCGTTTGCTACCCAACAACGAATTGTTCATTGAAAGTCTTCATGAACGAATGAGGGTATACAGTCGCCACGCTGTTTACATTGCCAGACTTCATACCACTGCAAGTCCACCTCAGCGCATTTACGTATGTTGCGCGTGTCTATCCACCTCCCAACATGGATTTGGTGACGTGCGGAAACATATTTTGGGTGTACATGCTCACATACCGGAACGCTTCAAAACCATTGCCATGAATTCCAGTCGTCTCAACCGAGAGGACTATTCTCTTCAGACTGAAAACTCGGCTCCGATTTCATCTCGGCCATCCTCGTCTTCTCATTCTCGGATACGTAGAACCACTCTGCGAAAGACCGGTTTAAACAATTTAACTTCACAACATTCATCTCGGAAACGTTCACTAACAGCTGTCGGCTCACCCGTGCTGCGCTCACATGTAACCAGTCCTCCGCGAAAGAAAGCGTGCTCCGGCGATGACCCTGTTGGTGAAGTTTTCTTCAACAATGGAAACGAATCGCTCAGGTCGCCCTCAGATCTGCATGAGGACGCCACAAGCCACACTCACCTAAACGGGACCTTGTCACCGTCGGGCTCTAAAGCATCGTTTCGCGAAGATCCATCCCGACCTCCAATCATTCTGATGTTACCCCGCCCCAAAGCATTTCACCCTTCACGTAGTCCTGAACAGTCCGACTTTTCTATATCAGGTAGTGACATGGAACGAGCCATAAGTGATGATCTGATCTCAGCTGAGGCGTCGCGCAGTCGACGCTCAATGATTTTGAAATCCAAACGTCCGTGTCCGACCACCACATAACGTAACCAACTCCTGCAATTTTTCCCCACAAAGTCCGATTATTTTACTGATTTGTTCTCTCGTTGCTTTCTCTTGTTCGAGTGTTTATTCTGTTTACACTTTCGTGATAGACCCTAATTAGGTTTACTATCCTTCACCATAGTTACAAAATTTGTATATACCCACCTCCACCGTGAACGCCGCCAGTTTTTCCTAACACAAGATCCTGTTCTCGGTGCTTCTATACTCACCCTTGTTCACTGAAGAAAAAATTCACCGACGAGCATAGATTTTTTAGATGTTTTTCTTCACATCGTGTATTTGTTTGCCACCGCGTTTGTTTGCTATACAACCAGGCAGTCTTTTGCTGCACGCGGTTGACTTATGGTTTGGATGCGTTGTCAATATCACCCTCGTCCCCCAGTTCAATGGCTTATGGGACCAATTGTGTGTTCACATGGTTTCGTCCCTTTCACGAGAATCGACATTCCAATGTTGCTCCCACACTTTGTTGTCTTGTGTTTCTTTTTTATTGGGTCTGCACTACTGACTTTGTAAGTAGATTGACAAGCTCGTTTTCTTGCATACACTGATGTTATTTGTATCGGTACGTCTATAGTTGCTTTTTGGGAGAATGGATGATGACAAACAACGACCCCCGTTTCGATTAGAAGAGAACATTGTCATTTATGAATATCGTCAAGCCTTTGTCTGCCCGTTCGTCTACCTCCTACGTGACAAGCATTCCACGTACGCAAACAGCATAGCTGCTTGGTACGTGTGCGTTTTGCATTGCAGTTCGACGATGCGTCGAGGTCAATCACTCCTATGTTTTGTGATCTAATTAGGGCGCATGAAGCCTGTTCCACATAGCTCCATACTCTGTCACGTACACACACACACGCATACAATAAGTGTGTGACTCTACCCACGATTTCACTTCGCTCTCGCCATCGGCCTACCCGTACATCGGTGTTCTTGATATCATCGTCGTCTAGAGTATCGATTGTTCCTGCTGGCTTCAACTGCAGTTCCAAAGAACGCGCGCGTGCACGTACTTCGCCTTGCGCTTTTAGCCTGCACGCTGGTTTCAACTGCATTCCAAAGAACGCGCGCGTGCACGTACTTCGCCTTGCGCTTTTAGCCTGCACGCTGGTGCAGGCGCACACAGATGCAAGCGCACACCCGCGAGCACGTGCACTGTGCGCGCTGCGTTGCGTTGCGTTGCTCCTCCGTCGTTGTTTGCTGGTACTCCGCTGCTCTTGCTGCTAATGCTGCCACCAGCACCATATAGCAGTAAAGCCGACTTGACCTGGTTGGAACGTGTTGGTCCGTGCACACACACACCCACACTGAATGCACGCCACCAACTGCTGGGACAATCATGATCACTATGGTAGCACTAAGTTGCCGTATGTGCGCACACAATGGTATTGATGATGATCGTCTTGGCTCTGCATACAGCCCGCATAGATCCGATGGCGACCTAGAGGCTACCGCGCATGAGAAAGTGCACCACCTATGCCGCCATCGACGCTGACGGATCGATCGCCGTTTTACTGATTGTATTACTACGGCACGCGATCGGATCAGTTGTGTGCGCGTGCGTTAGCAGCTGCCAGTCATGTGGAGCACACACTATCTGGTCTTTCGTTTTCGTAGGATGCGTTTGCAAGAGGTGCAGTTGGTTCTATGTTGAATCCGCTTCTAAACTATCGTGACTGATCTCAGCGACTGCTAAGATCGCTTTGTTAGAACAATATTCTATGTGACAGTAGCACCATTGTTGTACATCTACCGATTCTACATAAGAGAGAAACGGACAGGTTTTGATATTTGAAGCCTTGTGGCTTTGTGCGTCGTCCTATCTCGGCCGATCAGTTTCAAACCATAGAGGAAGTCCAACCTTATGGTCAGGAATTCCTTGGTAAAGAAATTAAAACACGAAAACCTCGCTCATCAGAAACACTTCACAGTATATACGCCTTTAAACTCAAGGTTTGGGGAAGCGGAGTTCCTTAGTCTGGGTGTCCTCGGAAAGTCAGCGTTGAATCCGGGAAGTGACTTACAAAGTTGAGTAAAGTGATAAACGGGACTGTGGTTGTGAACACGACTGACAAACTTCGAAAAATGTACACCGTATTAGTGGCAATAGAAGAGAGCGACCAAATTTCATCATCCCAGTCCTGAATGGTCGACACCTTATGACTTTGTTCTGCGTCCGACGCAATAGGTCAGGTAGGTTTGAGCGAATGTCACCTCAACCACACAAACGCGTCCAAGCATCACTTTAGAGTAAGGCGCCGTCCTTTGCGAACCTAACCGAAAATAAGCGCACCACACGACAACAAACTAACTGAAGCTGGGCGGTCCGGATAGGAACTGAGCCGGCCACTGAGACCGTCAAAATTCCATGCCCTGTGGGGCTTCCAACCACATATAGGGAGAATCACGGGGACCCAACCAAGAAGACTGGCATCAGTCGCCTTCATCTTGCGTTGCTAATTCATAGCCTGTTGCTTTGACGTCTTCACCAACAAGATTTCAGTGTAGAAAACTGCGGTTCCCTATGCTGGGCCAGTTCGATATGCGTACTACTTATCCAAACCAGTTTGCTCTCTGTTCTAACGATTCTGATTCAGCACCACCTCATTTAGAACTGAAGCCTCGTATACTCCGAAGGCGTCGATGGCCAGCCGTTTTGAGCTCCTCGGATGGGAGTGGCCAGTTTTCACAACAGAACACGGACGATACTACAGTACACACGATCGTTTGTTGAGGTTCGTTTCTGACTCCACAAATATTGCTCGCTCACATTGACTTTTGTCACAGCCATGGCGAATGCGGCTATTCGGATAGGTAAATTGGCCCCCCTTGAACCTTCGGGGGTACACTGTTGTCTCCACATAGCCCATGTTTACTAGGCTTTCCACAGGTGTACTTTCGTCGCCAGGATCCTCATTCTTTTGAAATACGCACTCCATGATGCTATCGATGAGTACAAAAGAGAAGAGAGGGTAGCCTCGCCGGATCCCATCAAGTTTAGGTGAAATTTAGACAGTTCACAGTAACTTACAAAATTAGAAGTGTGAACGAAAGAGGCATGAATTTCAGGGGTTTTCCTCTTTGACAGTATGTGTGTGTGTACACGAGCTGACCTATGTGCGGAATCAGTCTCCTATGAAGTTGGATAATGACGCGATAGTTGTTGTTCAAGCGTTGGACCTAAAGTGAAGATGTGATCAATGTATTTCGCACCCGATGAAAACTGCTTAATACTGTGTGGTTTGCAACTCATATGCCGGGGCCAGGCCTCGCAGTACTATTGTAACCAGTAGTCGGATTGTGACGCGTCGGGCTAATATCATCGTTAATCAATGGTGGAACACAGATGCACCGCCGTCATTAACTGGGGACGGTGGGAGTTTATCACCTAGTACCTAGTGATGTCCCACTCAATATCGTTCTGCTGTAGCACCCTTTTGGTGCCTAGCTGCCATGCCACCCGAAGGTTGCACGAGGGCTGGGATACTGCCAGGTTGCCCAGGTCTAGACAAATGGTAATATGGCCTGTTGTTAACCAGAGTTTCATCTAGCCGTATCTACTCAACTGTTTTTTTTTGCAGACTGAAGACGAGAGGGTATGATCGTGTCAATAGTTGAGCAACCGACGTTTCCACTGTTCGGATAGATCCGAAAATAAGCCACTCGGAAGAGTACATCTGCCCGGGTTTGAAACATTCTCTCCTTAGTGAGATATATTATAGCGAAGTGAGTGAGTGGATAAAACTTGATTACCGCTTTTCTTTGGTTTATGAGATGCTGTCTTATCGTACCAAATAAAAAGCGTTTGTACAGTGCCATACGCTATCTGAGTACTAAAGATGAACACCGCTAATTGAACACTAATGGCTTAGACTGCTGACGCTTTTGTTCGCAAACGCCCATTAATCGAACTGTACAACCAGATCTTTCGGAATGTCACACATCGATTTCCGTCCTCGTCAGGCAGAGCCTCGGTAACTTGCTGATATCCTTAAGGGACAGGAATATATCTCAGTCAGGCGAACAGTGTTGTCCGACTATTGAAGATGAATTGCGTTGCATGTGTGGATGGGTGTAGTGGTGCTTTCTTTGTCCAACACACTGTAGGCAAGCAGTGTGGCAGACCCGACTGAACACTGCATTCATCTTGCATATGCACCATTTGGTCACCACCACACACGTTGCTAATGAATGATCACTGTTGTGTGACCACAAGAATTTTATCTAAGAAAACCCCAACATCGACATTCTTAGGTAACTGCATTTCAACGCTATCGCCCTGATATTCGAACGGAAAATTACAGAGGTAAAAAAAATCGTCCGGTGCCTAAATGCCATGCCACCAGAGTGGAGCACGAAGGCTGGGATACTGCCAGGTTGCCCAAGCCTAGACAAGGGAAGCCGAGAGGCAGAGGTCGGGTTCAAACCACGGACCTTCCGGTCAGTAATTTCGCGCTCTAACCACTTGGACCATCTCGCCCCCTGCATCAGGTCTTACAAAGTCCGGTGCAAAAGGTCCCCCTGACCTCGTGCTGGAAATTGGATCTTAATGACACCTCACCCTTCATATTGTTCCGTCAAGTCATATGTTGTCCATGCCACTCTGAAGGAGGCATCGGAAGTAGCATTTGTCTCGGCAGACACGGATTCAGCATGTGTAGCCAGTGGCTTCATGCCAATATTTGCGACAACCGTGCGAGAGTCTTACATTCAAATTGTGTTCCCATACCAAACAGCAAACTATTCCCAATCTGGATGTCCTTCTTTAAGTGAAACCAACCTATGCTGAAAAGCCCGATGAGCACAACCGTTTCAGCCTTCATCAGAAGTGTTCGTGCTACGAAACTCTAGATATTCGAACGTAAGGCTGAGAAACAAGCAACGAGCAACCAATAGGCAATGTGATTAACCCACCACACTTAGAGTATAGCGCAGTTCCCATAACGTGTTGTCTGCCTCTTCGAATGATGATTTCT